AGATACTTTAAAGCAGGCCCACTGTTATAGTAGATACCAATGTTTTCCTCTAGTAAAGCATTGCACATACAGAACAATCCCAAAGACACTTCTTTGGCATATAGTATTAGTAAATATTAGTATTAGTATTAGTAAGACTGTGGTCCTACAGAGAGCAAGACAAACAAGTTCAAGGCTCATAAAAAGCATGGAAGGATAGAGAAAGAAGTGGATAGAGAAAGATAGATAGACAACAGAAGAACAAATTAAGAAGCATGGTAAGTAGTATGTCTTTAATTAGCCCTGATGAGACAGTGATGGGGATCTAATTTAGACAGAGTGTGGTCAAACAAAAACCTGCCTGGGAGGTGACCTATTCAATGTACATGACAAAAAGGTGTTACCAGCACAGAGAGGTGGTCAACTTAGCCAGAGCATCAGATTAGGGCTGAAACCCCATGTCCCAGCATGGATGCTTAGGAGTTACAATGAAAGGAACTATAGGACAAAAGCCAGGCAGAAGCTATACCCTTACCTCATTCTAGGTCCCTGAATTTGAGGGCAGGCTGAGGTAACAATAGACCTACTGTTGCTATGTATCATGCTTTCAAATAAAACAATCAGAAACATTAAAATTAGTTAAGTTAATGAAGAGACTAGAATTATGACCACTTTGATAGAAAGCAAACCTATGAAAAAATAAGATTTTTCTTTAGTATATAAATGTCTCAATTCATTATCACTCAATATATCAAAATGACACACTCTTTTCATAAAAGATGTGCAAGTTTGAAGGTAAAACAGCATCTTAGCACTAGAAAGACAGAAGTAGATGCAAATATGAAGAAAACTGGTAAGACGTTTCAGAATGATTAAATAAGAGGCAAGGCTAAGATTTAGGAGACTGAGACAAAGCTCTACAAGATGACATGTGGACAAAGTTTAGAGTCTGATCCTAAAATGCAATCCATTTGCAACTGATGAACAAATTTTATAATAGTTCTTAAAGCTTCTTATAGAACTTTTCTATATTTTAAATACATTTTGGAATTAAATATGCAGGTCATCCAGCTAAATATAGAAAATTAGGATTGGCGCTGGACGCCCGTGGCTCACGCCTGTAATCCTAACTACTCAGGAGGCTGAGATCTGAGGATCACGGTTCAAAGCCAGCCCATACAGGAAAGTCCGTGAGACGCTTATCTCCAATGAACCACTAGAAAACTAGAAGTGGCACTGTGGCTCAAGCGGTAGAGCGCTCGCCTTGAGCTGAAGAGCACAGGAACTCTGGCCCAAGCCCAGAGTTCAAGCCCCACGATCAACCAAAAAAAAAAAGAAAAGAAAATTAGGATCGGCCTGGGAGAAAAAGTTACCATATAATGGAATAGCCTCTTGTAATCCATTGTGAAAAATAGAATTCATCATTATATAATGGCACTTATTCAATTTCCTCAAGTCTTCCTCCAACGCAGCAGAAAAACAAGAGGAACTTTCAAAAAAAGTTTCTAAGTAACAAAAATAAATGGCACAAAGGTCAACATTCAAACTTATAGACTAACTTCAAGAAAGTCCCCTGTAGCCTCACTCAGAGTTTATTTACTGTTAGACACTATTTTAAAGATGTGTGACCATCTGTCTGTTGATTAAATTTTAAGCTGCTACCTAAAGGGAGTCAGGACTAGGTACAGTTTTGTTAAGCACAAGCACTTGCATCAGTAGGAAGACACAGCTGGCACTAATATAGGCAAAAGGCATTCCTCGTAGACCATGATCCCCATGGCAAATAGAGCCACATACCACAAAAGCCCTTGAAGAAAAGCATGCATGCAATAATTGATACCTGGAGGTAGCCCTAAAGTAAAAAAGCATTTCTCAAGTGATAGATAAATACAAATCACTACTCTGTGATGCAAAGTAGAAGAGATATTACTCCATCATAACTTATGATTGACATTTCTTTTGGTTGGCTACAAAAGACACAATAAACTGGATTTTGTTTTCTTGTTTCTGAATGTATATACCAATCATTCTACTGTAACTAAGAAGCATTATCTTGATCTTATCTTACTCATTTCGGGGTAGGCATTCTATCTGAAAGCAATACATATTGATATTAGTGTTTTTCCTGTCCATGTATGGGAGATTCATAGACCACAATTGCTCCAAGAAATGCCATATTATGGTTAAAGTATTGTGAAAAATGAAGCACAAAAATCTGGTATTTGCTGAGTGGTAGAGCACTTGCCTAGCATACATGAGACTTTAGGTTGAACTGGAAGATAAAGCTATGTTTACATTGGAGGATAAAGCTATGTTTACATTAAAGTACAGTCCTATAATAGGTCAAAATCCAGATAAATAACAATTGTTTTGACTCATACCCACATAGTCCAATCTAAATACAAAATATCTAGAACTGGAGAATCTTAATACTCAATTTCATTCAGAATACAAAATTAATATTGAGAGTGAGCAGGTTTGGATATTTGATTGAGTAAACACCATTAGAGGAGCGGAATACTCTAGAAAAATGAAGAAGGATCCCGGAAAGCAGATGTATGTTCATCTAATCACAAAAGGCCAATTTGTGTTTGGTACTGGAAGACCTTTCATAAAATGACAAGATGCACAAATTTGGACCCATGGTATTTTCTCTGAGGTATCCTTGCTAGAAGTTAATTTGATAATCATCAAACAGATCAGCAGAGGCATCAAATATCAATCACTACCCCTTGGGAATGGGAAGTTTTAAGGTCCAAGAAGAAGAAGAAGCTGTTATTATTCAGCAAAAATGGTCACATTCTAGGGGGAATCTTCTTTAATACCCACCTGCTATCCTCCAATCCGGGAACCTTAACATACAAACATCAACCTGAGCATGTGCAGAAAAATAGCTCCATATTGCCCCCTAGTGCTGGCTAGTCCCATTTCTCTTTAGGCTAAAAACTACATGGTGATTAGTTCCTCTACTACTTCTTCCAGCCAATCCTCCAAGAGCTAAACATAGCCTACAGATTAGAAAACAACCAGGCTATTTTTAGCATCATACATCTTAGGAATGGAAATGGACCAGCCTCTAATGGCAACAGAAAGTGTGTACACTGGCTGAATGAACTCACCTCTCTTGAGGGTGTGAACCTACTCAGTAAACTAGCCCATGACCAAAGGCTAAAAAGCTCTAGAGAAAACTGCTGGGTAAGTCTGGGGCCAAGAAACAAGATGATAACAACATGCACATCACAACAGAAAACTACTTCAAGGAAAAGGAGAAAGTACAAGTAACAAGAGAACCTAGGAGATACCAAGCCAGTGCAGTGGGAGAGATGACATGAGATCAGAATAAGGAGCTAGAAAAACAGAGGCCATGAAGACTGTGCACTGTTGTTGCTATGGAAAAGCTTGTCTAGTAAGAGGCAACATTTTGAACTGAGCATTTATTTCACATAAGAAAGAACAAAGGTTGGTCTGATCTGCTTCCTGACTGGGTCCAGCTGGTGCTGTGGCTCCTTTGATCACTTTCTCTGGCCCTCTGCTGGTCTTGTGATTAGTGGTAGATCTCTAGGCTTCCCTTTGATCAGTAGCTCAAGGAGCCTGCAGGTGCCATGTGCCACTACGTTAGCACGTGGTTAGGAACAACCACAACAATATTGACTGATAAATGTGATACTGTGTCTTGGCATGCAAGAAACCAAGACAAACAATGTCTATCAAAGCCCCAGTAAGCCTTATTTTATCTAACTTTAGTACTCTAGAACTTTCTGTGCTTTCTTAACATTGAGCCCTTTTTTGCATTTAAATCCAGAGTTGAAGCTTCAAAACATCCTATGTATAAAGAAAGAAGTCCTGATGACTTTAAAAAAGGAGTTCACTACCCTGGGATTTGCCAGGTATGCTACTTTTGTTCATCTTACCTGGATTAGAGAACATTCTTGCATTGTCAACAGCAGACATGAAAGCAGAAAAACATGAACCATTTCTTTTCAAATAACAGTAAGAACCACCACTGGTAAACAGGGTGTTTAATATTCCACTTTTAGACAGCCTACATTCACATTGTGGTTTCAAGGGCGGTCTAAAATTTCTATTTACAAAGGAGGTTCAAAAATGACTTCATAATGGTAGATGAAGAGAAAAAGAGTTTAGAAATTGAATGATGTAAATCATATGGGGTTCAGAGGCTAAGCAAATTACACACCCCGAAGCTTCCCTGGCTTTATGAAAGGAGCCTTTCTCCAGCTCTGTGCAATCCCAGCCCAGAGGAACTTACATTGGAGAGTTTTCTAAACATTTCAGGTACACTTGAAAAGCTGAAAGTAATTCTCATTTCCTATGCGGGATTAAGTCGTTTCCAACATACATAAAATAGCAGTCATTCACTAACACACACACACACAAAAACACCACCAGAAAGGTAAGCACAAAGGCACGTTTACACACACACACACACACACACACACACACACACACACACACACAGAGCTCAAAAGAAAGACATATTTTATTCCCCTAAAACACGTCGCAGAGTCTGGACCTCAATATTTCTTATCTACTTAAGAGTGGATGCCTTTTCAATGAATGCGGCTGATGGGTGTCCTGAAGTCCCCCTGGCCACTGCACTCCCCCACCCCACCCCAAGAAAAACCCACTCTGACTAAAATCAAGCATGTCAAAACTCATTCATTGTGGATTCCCTTTTCCAGGCAGTTCTTGAACAACGTATAACTCCGGCAACGCGCGACCCCGCGACGTGCCGAGCACTGACGTTCACAATCGCTCCTTGGCTAGGGCTGCACAGCACTCGCGCTCCCCTGCTAAAGTTCTGGGCAGCTCCGGTGGCCAACAGGCAAAAGTCCCCACGGACGCACGGGGCGCGCATCTTGCGCGCTCGAGAGACGCGGCGGCGCCCACGCGGGCTGGTGGGCAGCACACGCGGCAAGGCGAGCGCGCACAGCGGGCAGCCAGGGTGCGAGAGCGGGGTAGCGGCGGTGGGGGGTGGGGCGGGGAGGAGGGCGCAGACTCACCGTTCTGCTCCTTGTCGCTGGAGAACTGGAACTTACTGCTCAGGTTGGACTCTGCCTGCGCGCCGAGTCTCTGGCCGGCCAGGGCAGATGTCAGCAGGAGAAGGCCGAAGAGGAGCATTTGGCTGATTGGGGCGATTGCTCGCTCGCGGCGGGCACTGGGGAAGCGGCGACTCCGAGCCTATCACCACCGCCCGGGGAAGGCTGCACCGGAGTGGAAGCGCCGAGCCTTCTCTGGCAGCGGAGAATCGCAGGGTAGTTTCCACATAATCCCATCCAAAACTTTTTTCCTAGAGCCCTCTTCTGTGTCTCCAGTTTGTTGAAAAGGATCAAAGCAAAACCTGGACCTGAACCAGTTCCCCAAGGTTTAAACAAATCCTGAGCTGTGCCGAAGTGGTGGGGGCTGGAGGGGGGGGAGAGGGAGGGAGACGAAAGAGGAAAGAGGGGGTGGGGACGCGGGGGAGCGGCGAGAAGTCACCGGCGACTTGCAGGGAGCACCTGTCAGTTTAGGGGCCCGGAGCGAGCCGGGGACTCAGGGGTCGCGCAGAGTCCGTCTGGAAGCCAGGTCGGCGGGCGAGCGCTGTCGGATCAATCACAGAGCTGCCAATAGATGCGGCGCTCCGGGCGCCCGCTCCCCGCCCCACCCCCACCCCACCCGGAGGGGGAGGGGGAGAAGGCGGCGCGGGCGCCGCGCGGGTCCCGGGGGTGGGGGGCGGCGGTTGGCGGCGGGGAGCGCCGCGGGGAGTCGAGGCCCGGGGAGGCCGCGGGTCAGTTCACCAGTCGCGTGTTCGCGGGCTGCGCGGCGGGTCCTGTCCGCCTCCGTCGCTCGGCTCCCGGCACCTGGCTGGAGTTGGGCGCGACCAAGTTCACTTGGGCGGGTGCGTCTTCCGCTCCGGGCAGCCGCCTGGATCGCAGGTCGGGGGCGCCGGGGACTCCGGGCCGGGCCGTTCCCTCCCCCACTCTCAGTCGGCGCTAACCTCGGGGCGCAGCGGCGTCTCCACCCGGGCTGCCGAAGGAAGAAGGCCGGGCCGCCCGGAGGACCTCGCTTGTCCCCTCCCCTTCTCCACCTTCCCCCCACCAGCGCGGCGCGGCGCGGTGCGGAGGTGGGGGGGGCCCCGAGCCTCTGTCCTGCGGGCGGCCGGGGGTCGGCGTCGCCGTGGGGGCCGGTTTGCCAGCTGGCCGTCCAACAGGTGCTGGAGCAGACGGGGTGCTTCGGGGCACGCCTCCCGTGGAGCCCAGCAGGCGCGGCGAGGAATGCCGCCCACCCGGAGGGCCCGGGCTTCCTTTCCACCCGTTGCCCCTAACCCCAAATAAGGAACACTTAGGCCGCGGGAGGGTGCTGCAAAAGCGAGAAGTGAAGAACTTGCCGGGACTCCTCCTCCCGTACTAGACAGCTGTGACTCCTTACTCTGTGTCCAGGGGATCCCCACTCCCCAGGACCTTTGCCCATAGCACTTGTGCCCAGCATTTCTAGACTACGGGAACAAGGGACGCTGGACGCAAAGTTTCCTCTTCTTTGCAGTTCTGAAGTAGGAGGAAAGGAGTAAAAGACAAATGGCCTCAACAATAACATTCATTCAGTCAATTTAACAACACACTATGTGTTTATCCCTCACTGTGCTGGGCACTTAGACTGTGGCAGTGACAAAGGCAAAAGTCCCTGACCTTTCAAAACTTCAGCACTAGGTGGGCAGCATATTACTCTCAATCCCCACCCCCTAGAGTGGAGAGACTGTGAGTAGGGGCAAGCAGTCCCCTTGGCCCCTTATGACAGGCTTGCTTGTGAAACAGCCTAACACCAAGCTGTCTTGAGCCCTGGTAATGGAAGGGCTGGCCTCTGTACTGAGAAGGTAGAGAAAGCACCCAAATCTGCACGTGGCCTGGGCCCAGATCTACATTGTGTGGTTCGTGCTGAGCCCTGAAGTTCCTAGGAGACTGTCTAAAATGATAAACATCAGCAGATCAGCAGAGCCTGGGTGGTTCCATGTGCAAGGCATCTGTCCTCCTCAGAATGGAGCATGTTGCCTTATCAAGGAGCAGAAAATCCTTGGGAATGTGTTGAAGGCACAAACAGAGTCAGAACGCTATATTGTTAAAGAGTAGAAGGTTTGGGGCTAATCACACACACACATATCAAGCAAGTACTCTGGCAGGCATTCAGAAGTGTCTTCCTATCTTTTGTAAAACACAGTCATTCAAACGAATCATTTGACATGGGACACAGAACCAAGACAACATTCTAACACCAAGATGTTCCTAAGACCAGGGCAGGGATGTACTGCTGGACCAAATCTGGCACTACCTTGCCTAAAATATCACATCCATTCCCTACTTGGACACTATCCTAGTCTTATTTCTTTTACTTCTTAAAATTTGGTTATTGGGCCTGGCCCTTGTGGCTCACACCTGTAATACTAGCTGCACTGGAGACTGAGGATCAAGGTTCAAAACCAGCATGAGCAGAAATTCAAGAGATTCTCATCTCCAATTAAACAGCAAAAATCCAGAAGTAGAGCTGAAATCTAGCCTTAAGCAGAAAAAGCCAAGCCAGAACATGAGGCCCTGAGTTCAAGCCCTGAGTTCAAAAGGAGATAGGGTGGGGGAGAACAGGAGGGTACTATAGGTGTTGCTCAGTGGTATAGCATGTGTTTTATATTCAGGAGGTCTAAGGTACTCTTCTCAGCAACAAAAAGAAAAAGCCCAGTGTGGTGGCTCACACCTGTAATCCTAGCTACTCAGGAAACTGAGAGCTGAGGATCACAGTCCAAAGCCAGCCAGGGCAAGAAAGTCCATGCCAATAAGCCACCAGAAAACCTGCAGTGGCTCTGTGGCTCAAGTGGTAAAGTGCTAGCCTTGTGCTGAAGAGCTCGGGCACAGCGCCCAGGCCCAGAGTTCAAGACCCAATACTGACAAAAAAGTTGAACTAGGGACATCTCTTCTTTACAAATCTGTACAGTTCATTTGTTCTTATTCTGTCCTCAGAGTGCTGTATATAGCAGCAAATTCATTTTTTTACTATAAGATGTTTTTAGTTTAATGGACTTTGTTATTTTATTCACACTTAGTTTCTCAGCATCAGTGTAAATCCATATTTGCACAATAAATGTCTTTCAAAAGAATTTCATAAATTTGTGATGAAGACTGCTCCCAATTTTAATAACATAATGAGACAGAAAAGGTGAGCCTATGAGTCCACTTTAAGCTATTTGTAATATAATTCATTATTCTTCAATCTGTCTAATTTTCTTCGTTTCCTAATCAGGAGTTGTCTCTCTGAGTTTACAGCCTATTCACATAGTTGGGTTTCCTGACCACCCACATAGGGTGTATGTGTGTGTCTGCAGACTTAATCCATTTGCTCTCACGAGATTATAGGGGTGATGACTGTGCTTTATTCTGTATCATTTCATATTGGCTAGAACAGTGCCTGGCACAGGGGGATAATAAATAAACATACTTGACTGACTGACAGTTTTCTTTATTGGGCTCACTTACTTTCTCCCTGGAATTTCAGCAAGAAGGCTGTACTTGAAAAGTTACAGATGATCTAAAATAATACTCTACCTCTCCCTTTCACCTCATCCATATTCCAAAGATTGATTTGACAATTGCCTTATAAATAAAGCCAGCCAGGTACTTCTGTATGACCCCTAGACAAAATCACATCCACATTGGCCAGTTTCCCGTCAACAGACTTGAGTTGTTGTTGCGTGAACTGCTGTTGCCCTTGGCATAGTTGATTCTTTTTTAACACTTTACCCTCTGCTCTGTTTTTCTGTTCTATTTCACTTTTAAACCTTTCCCAGAAGAGCGAGATCCTTGCATTGAACCTAAATTTGATATAAATCCAGAGTCTGTTAAATTACTAAATAGTGTGTTTTGAGTGGATATAATTCTGTTTGGGCCTAAGGCATTTTTCTTGAGGAAAGGTATTTATCTTGCCAACCAGGGGAAAAAAATCATTTCAGACATTTTTTGTGGGTTTCATGCTTCCTTAAACCTTAGAAGTTAATGTGGCCATTGCCAGATTTATGAGAAGGGATACCTAGGAACTGGCTAGTACTTGACTCCTGATAGTGGTCATCCAGGAAAAGTGGAATAGGTTTCACGACAAAAAAAAATTAAGTGGAATAAAAGTGTGTGTGTGTGTGTGTGTGTGTGTGTGTGTGTGTGTGTTGGTATTGTGGCTTGAATTCAGTACCTTACACTTTCACTTGGCTTTTTTTATTTCAATGCTGGTACTCTACTCCTTGAGACATGCCTCTACTTCAGACTCTTTTTAAATTTTTTCTCATTAACTGGAAATAAGATGCTTAAGATATTTCTGCCTGGCCTGCCTGGCTTTGAACTGTGATCTGTAAATCTCAGCCTCTTGAGTAGCAAGGTTTACAGGTTTGAGCCAACAGTGCCCAGCTCTGGGATAAAGTTGTTAAACAACTTTCTCCATAGATAGTCACTAAAACATCTAGAAGGGAAGAAGCCACAGGGACAGATGTCTGCCTCAGCAAATTAAATACCAATTTTCTTATTCTTCTTCTATTTAAGGGTGAGATCCCATGCATGCATGTATGCACATGTGCATATACAAAACCATGCAGTTATTTTGAGACTTTCCCTAGAACTTTTCAGTGTTTTAGAGGCAGGTAATTGAGCATGAGCTCCTGAAGTTCAGAAAGCTTTGTTCTACATGAATGCCCATCGTGTTTCCAGAATGGCTAACAAGCAACAATTATATACACATATGGAAAGGGCTGGGACCAGGAAATCATTAGTAAGCAAAGCACATGCCGCAAGCCACAGCCAGAATAATGACTGTTCTTGGTGGGGGAAAAATAAAGCAAATAAATAAGAACTCTGTCTTAATGTTCTCCACTTCTGTGTTCTTTAACTACCTCATCTTGAGAAGCATGACCTGTCAAGCTATTTGTGGGTAGTCAGAAGGATAAATGTTGGCTAATAATAAGAAGTTGATTTTTTAGCCTAGAAATAATGACATACATATTTGTTACATTTTACACTTCTAGGATTAAGTCCTCCTACCTGCTAACATATGGAGGATTTTGCCAAATTTCTGTTCTCCAAAAGCAGACATACTTTCTAATTTTGACTTTTGGGGGAAGATAGTGACAGTTTGTGATGACAAGGGCTGTTCATCAAGCAACCCTCGGCCTTCTGTGGCCTTCCTCAAGGAAGTAAAGCTACTGTTTCTGTTTGGAAGCATGGCTGAGTATACACAGATTCTTCCAAAATTGCAGAAATGCCACCAGCTGATTTAAAAGTCAGTGAAAGTTAAATTCACAGAAACAGCCACAGAGAAAGGGGAGCCCCCAGTAACCTTGGAAGCACCAAAGGAAATGTTCCTTTCAGTAGGAGCCGGGAGACCAGCAACTGAGTCCATCTTTACTTCTAATGAACAGGAATCGTCCCTTGCATCTCAGGGTTTGGTTTGTTGTTGGATTTTTCCCCCCTAAGAAATCTGTGCTGGATTCTGTCCCAGTCCACTTACTGCTTCAGAATTCTTTGATTCTCTGAGCTATTATAAATAATGATGGAAAATTTTTTCTACCTCATTGTGCTTCTGGGATAAAAAATGACCAGAACAGAGATTT